TTGCCGTCCCTTGTCGCCTCCATTGGTCGGTGAGAAGCTAAGGCAGCTAAGAGTCTTTGAGCCAGAAGCTGGCCCCAAGCAAAACGTCGCAAGCTGCGCCGACAGCCGCGAGATCTATGACGCTCGCATGGACTGAGAGAACCCAGCCCTAAAAGAGGTCAGTCCGACGCTACACTGACTCCATCCAAGCTTGCGGTGGCGTCGGCGTGATGCGGTTTACGATCCACGTGTCTGCACTCCATGCAAGGAGCGCCAAAGGCAGCGAGGCGGCTCCAAAAAGGGACTAACCACACGAACCTTGAATCCTAACGGAGCTCTCCGTGATATTGAAACCTAGTCGATACAATAAGCCTATGCGGTGATTGAAGCGCGTGCATGGTAAATGAGGGATGCCGCGTTATGAATATCGATTTCCGGTTTTCGAGCCTTGCCAGCAAATATAGCACATCACGAACTCTTGCGGCCTCCAGCCTGCAATTGAAGCTATTCTGGCTCAAGACCAGAATATCTTGGCCCGTCTTAGACGGAGACTTGAATTGCTCGTTGTTCCCAACCCTGCTCTTGCATGAGCCAGCGGACGCTCGTGTCGCAGTCACCACCTAAGAAGACGTGCTTCCGCAGCTTGGTACCGCTCAGGCGCGATCGCAAGGTCCGGACCTGGCGGTGCAGCTGCAAGCTCTGTGGGAACTCTCGGTTGATGACCAACAAGGCGCACGTGGGCTTGATGAGCTTGGGCAGAGAGGCGAAAGGATGAACTTTCAAAGAAGTGCCCATGATTATCAGCAGGTCCGCGTTTTGGAAATCGCTCTTGTGTTGGCTAAAGCTCTCAGGCAATGGTTCTCCAAAAAGTACGATGTCCGGACGGAGCGCGCTGCCACACCTGCACCTTGGTGGATCGGCTTGGTCGAAATACTCTTCCTTAGAGATGAAGGTCCGACACTCGTCGCACCTCGCTCTTCGTGTGGTCCCATGGCATTCCACCAACAATGACTTTTGAATGCCAACCTTGCGCTCCAAGCAGTCAATGTTCTGTGTGTAGACTCTCCTCAGAATCTTTTTGTCCTGCAGCCTCTTCAGGAACTCATGCGTGAGGGTAGGGGACACATGATCCGCCCTCAGTTGCTGCATCACCTTGTAGAAGAGCAACGGTTGCTCTTTCAGAAATTGCCTGGTGAAGATGGTCTCTGGCGTTGTGATGTTGGTGGTCTGCCTCAACTGGTCATAGAGCCCCCCCTTGGATCGGAAATCTGGCAGATTCGCAGACACCGAAATGCCCGCCCCAGCCATGACAACCACGTTTTTGAAGGCATTAGCAGCCATGTCCGCCAACAGGAGCCCAAGCGGCCCATCATCCACTTGCTCCTCGAACTGCACGCCCAACTGCATTTCAGGACGGGCCAGAGCCGTGCTTTCAGCTGGTATGTCCTCACTCAAAGCCTCAATCTCAGTTTGAATGTGGCCATAGGCAAGCTGAATCCACTGCGTAAACCTCTCAAATAATTCCACTGCCCTGTCTGAAGGTACCTTCGCGTCATTCGTGTAGAGCAAACGTGCCTCTGCCAACGCATCTGACAGAGTCTGGCTTTCTGGTGCGGGTCCAAGGAGTTTATCCTCCAGAATTCGCTTCAAGGCTTCTTCTCCACCTTCTGTCGTTTCCTTGAAGAGCTGCTTGGCTCTGCTCTCGTCGTCCAGTTTCGAACGACTTTTCGCTGCCATCAGACCTCGCTCTCGACCAACGGCTTCTTTGCACTTCAGCAGGAAGGCACACCGGTCCGGGACTTGCTTGGCCTCAGGCCAATCGCAATCGAAACGTCCATAAAGAATCACAAAGGCCTGGGATGGCCTGGGCCTAAGCAGCAACACCTGGGGTGCATACTCCTGTCATCAACTCATCAATCGCCAGAGTGCCTGATGCCAACTCATTCAACTCATCACCAACCGTGGTCACCGCGTATGCATCTGTCAGCTCTTCAGCTTTTCCAAACGTCTCTGTGCCTCTGTGCCTGCGGCTGGGGCTCAGTTTACGTGGCCGGCAAGATGCTCTGAAAGCACTGGACTTACTCTGTCTGTCACTCACCTCACCCACCCACCCACTCACTCATCACTAAACCTCACACAACCTACCTCCTCGCTCGCTCACAGTCTGAGTGAGCGACGGCAGCATTATATTCGACAGACCATTGCTGGCCATCTCTGCAAGAAAAGAAACACCGAAACAAATGCTGAAGATATCTGCAAACAACAACTCAGCAAGTGACCTCTGGAGATTCCAGGCCTTCTGCCGCGAAGCTCAGGGCTTGCACGATGGTTTTCATGATGCGATCGATGAGTGAATGGTATCCCGTGTCTCCCATGCAGACGGTCTCGTATCGGCTGATCCAGCTGGGCGTCACGTGTCGCATCGCATCATTCACGCGGCCTCTCTGCAACACCAAGCCAACGGAGATCTCTTGCACGGCCAACAGGTCCTCGACTCGCAACCCCCTATTTGTAGCAAAGCCTCGTGACCCGACACAGTTATTGGAAACTCTGTGGTTTCAGGTCCTTGTGCTTGCTTTGGATGTAGCCTTTCTCCTGAAGGGCCGGCGCAAGGCGCAAAATCTCGGAGAGTTGTTGTACAGCCTTGTCGGTGCGGGTGCGCTGGTTCTGCAAGCGCTCCCCGGCTGTAACCAAAACCGTGGGGTCTGCAGCCACGGCATAGCAGGAAAGACCGCGCTCCACTTGCAACTCGTGCATAAAACATGTCATGACACTCGAGAGACCTGCAAAATACTGTTGCTCGTTGTTGGTGCCAGGAAACTGGACTCGTTCGTGGCTCACCCATGCACCTTCCAGGAACTTTCCCATGCCGTGCATTGGCGAATCGCGTTCGCTCTCCACGACTTCCTTCACAGCACCGAATTTTTGCTTGGCTCTCAACTCGGCATGCTCCTCAGCGAGTTGCACCACCACGGCCATGCGAGGCCTTCTCTCCCCGAAGATCATCTCGTCACCCTCTCCGTAGACCACCTCCGCACTCACCATCTTCACAGATCTCTGGAGCTTCTCATTCCAAAGCTTCAAGGCCGATGAGACCATCTTCCCCAAGACCGTGCTCTGAAAAACCTCCAATGTGCTACCTTTCAGCAGCGTCTCCTTCTTCAAGTTCGCAGCCTTCAGCTCGGTGCTCAGGGCGAAATCTAAGACGTCACCCAACTTCTGCCGGGCCTCAGCTTCCGTTCGACCACAAACCGCCATCAGCAAATAGGTGTTCCAATTCACCACATCCGCAACCACCAGCTTCTCCAAATCTGGCATGGAGTTCAAAAAAGCCTCCGAACTCGGACCTCAGCTTCCCTCACTAAGCAACCCATCCAGGACTACGCGCGGGTGTGGTGAAGATCTTTAGCGTTTGTTGAGCACCAGCTGCTCCATGCTCCCAGAACCAGTAACCGATTTCATATCTGTTTGTTACAATCACTGGATGTATCAACCCCAGGGGAGACATGCTGCACATGCTGCACCGGCTGAAAAATCAGACTTCAGGAGAAATTTCCTGACACCACCCAATCGACGCATCTGAGCAGAGAAAGCCTTGGCATGATCGAAACATACCCCAAAACACAAGGCAACTTCCACCAAACTGAACACTGCGACGAACCTCGGTCTGCAAATCCTGGCTACTCGCATTCGCAAAGGCATCGAACTTCCGGAACAGCTCTTGTTGTGTGTCTGACACAGTTCTGAAATTGCACGTCTCAGTTTCCGTAGTCCCTTCACCTCGCTTCTTGGGACTTGACATGCACGTGTAGTCAAGGATCGCGAGAGTGCAAATTTGGCAAATCTGGCGCCAACGTGGCGCCAACATCTTTCAACTGCCCCTAACTCGAGGTGGGTTCGACGACTGCAGGGATGGGTTGCAGAAACACCGACCGGGATGAGCCTTCGTCTCCTTCACGCAAAATATCAACCGGGGGACATCGCAACCGGGGCTGGTCCCTAGCTCTACATTCACACGAAGACAGAGCCCGACTCAAAGGACTGTCGCGTTCTCATTTTGTGAAATGCTTTCCCTCCAAGGCAGCTGCTCTGGGACTCCTTCTTCGACTGGAAAAAGAGCAAGGGAGGTGCTAAGAGGTGCTCTGCAATAGCCTGAGCTCCATATCGATGTCCAGCTGGCAGAATGCCGTTCAGGAAGACGCGATCAATCGTCCAAGTGCGCTCCGAGATGTCCAGCCAAGACACGAAATTCGCAAATTGCTCCTGTTGGCTTGCTGTCAAACAACTACGTGCAACATACACGATGAAGCGCTTGATTGGTGAAAGCAATAGGATATTGTGCCGAAAGTACCATGGAGTAGGCATGGGGAGCCGTTACTAAAATCCGGGTGCTCCGGTGGTCCTTTTGCATGATGGTGTGCTCCCAAAAATGCTGAATCTCAGCGAGCTGGCCCGTGCTCTTCACCTTCTGCTCAGAGACAAAGCATGTGCGAATCTCCAGAATCAATGGCTTCGATTCTGTAGTGTGTGTATCCTTGAAGCCCAGGGCATCCTTGAGGCTCTTCTGTGCTAAGCCAATGCCCACAAATTTCTCAAAGCCAGTGATGGTCAAACCAGAGGACACCGGTCCATGCAGCTGGTACTCCAAGCCGTTCTGCAGTTCCCGCAGTGCAAGGGGCAGGTGTTGAGACTGATGGCCCGCTGCTTGCTCGCTCACATGCTCTGTCACAGTCTTGTTGGGTGGTATGGAGGACGCCCTGGAGATCGTCGAAGTATTCTTCTGCAACTGATCAAAGACTGCAAGCTTGAACTCGGCTTCAAGGAGATCCACAGTCTTTGACTGGCCATTGGCCTCGAGATCAGGAGTCATGAAGAAGATATCTGAGATCGCATTGGCATCCGTCTTCAAGAGCGCCGCAATGAGCTTGTACCTCAAATTGCGCATCATGGTAACCACCGCGCCACGTTCACCTCCATTCGCAGGACAATCCACCAACACTTTAACGATCTCTGCGACATCCTGTAATGCTGCCACTGCGGTTGGCACCACCTTGCGGACCTCATCTGCAGAGCTCGAGCTCACCGTGACTTCATTCACCTCATGCTTCTTCGGCATGAGGTACTTGCGCACGGGACTGTGGTAAACCGGTGCCAGCTCGAAGCTCTGATCCACATGGGCACCGATCTTGATCAGTGTGGCTGCCTTGATCGTCAAATCTCGTTTCAACACCGCATGCTCCAACAACGGCAGCTCTTCAGCACAGTCCAAGCCAACGATGCGAAGCCGCAGATTTTTTTGGTCTTGATCCACAGTTAACGACACTGGCAGACCATCCAGTCGGAAGAAGCTTTGCCATGCAGCTCTGGAAGCTTTAGCAACTTCAGCTGTGGAGCTAGCACACCCCATCTTCGGCCAACATGGCTATGACAACGCATGCGCAAGCTTGGAAGCTTTGCCTGCAGGGCCATGCAATGCATATGCGAACTAGGAACGCTTCAATTCTTTTCCCAGCAGATCCTTATCGCAGACGGGGTGGTCAAGCAGAGTCGGGCAGGGTAGGAAAACTCTGAAAGTCATCAATTTGGCTTTCAACTTCCTGCGGCCATGAACATGCCAGACTTCTGGTGCGGTGAAAAGGTCAAGCTGCGTGCGATTTCAGGGCAGGCTGCGTAATTAAGTGCCTGTGCCTGCTTGTTCTGTCGGAGAGACGATGTGGCTCCACAGTCTTTCCTTAAAGCTCCGTGCCACATCCAGGTTCGGCAAGTGACAGACACCTGAATGGCACGCGCCCCCTTCCGCTTGATCTGAACTTGATCTCTGAATGTTAGAGCACCTGAACCTCAAGGTCACTGATCTTCATCATGAGCATTTGGCCAGCCTGATCATGAAGTGGAGTGGCGCCATCACGTGCCATCTCCAAGACATGACTCTCCAACTTCAAGTCGGTATATGACGGCATGAAATGAGATGTGGTGCGAAGCAGCTGCAATTACAAACCACAATGTGAATGGAAACTTGAGGAGATCCAGAAGCACAGAGAGCGTAGGCACGGGAGACCGAAGAAGAGGCATCATCAGAAGAGAGAGTCAAAGCGAGGCCACCCAGCGGCGGTGGCCTGTGGTGCGGTGACCGAAATCGAAAGCGGCTTTCAAGCACAAGCCTTGCAGCTTTCTCCAGCGCCCAGAGGACAAAACCGTCTTTTTGGCAGGCCTTTGGAAGGCCTTACTGTATGTCTGGAGTGTTCACAGACTATGACAGTGACCGCCAATGAGCACAGCTCTCTCAGCGATCTTCTAATCGCGATTCGCTGTTTAGCAAGCAAACAACACAGGACTCTTGAGCATGAAGTGAACATTTTCTGCAAGATATGCAAGCAAGCAGCCCGCCATTGGATGATCCGGCCACGGATGCCACCAGGCAAGAGACTACGCTCACTTCACCCAAGCGAGCTTCGGCATGATGCGGTCTGCCATCCACATGCTTGCGCTCCATGCAAGAAACGTCGAAGGAAGTGAGGCAGCTCAAATCAACCACATGGAGAGATACCAGGTCAATAGAATCTGTTCGCTGTTGGAGCTGCATCCGAGTCATGGCCGGCCGCCTCATACATTTCTTTTTGCTCAAATACTTTCTTGCCACCATTTTGTGCTCGTCAGCTGCGACCTCCTTTCTCAATTTGCGTCGCCACTTCGGGTTCTCCAGCTTTGAACCTAGCAGCGGAACCCGATACGATTGAAATTAGAAACATCCTTCTCCAAATCCATCGCCGCAGAGGCGGCAACTCTGCTGCCTTCTTGGATTCGTCCAACTTCAACTTGAAGTCGCCATGCCTACGACTTCCCACAGGGAGTTCTCTGAGCCTGCAAGTGCTGCAAAGCACTCATGAGTCATGAAACCATTCAGGCGTCCAAAACCCTGCACATCCGCTGTGACCTTTTGGCGAATTTGGTGCCATCAGTGTGCAAGATGCTCGTCTGTGCCTGCAACCTTGCACTCCATGCCAAGGTTACTAGGGCAGTCCTGCGCCGCCTTTTGGAACGACACAGGTCTACAAATGTTCTGGGGCCCGAAATCATAAGCGAGCTTCGAGCCTCATTCAGGCTACCGTTGACATCAGAATGAGAAGATGTTGGAATTCACGTAGCCCATGCTTTGCAAGGCTGGAATGCAAGCTTTCTCTAACATCACAGGAGGCCCACACATCAAGCATACGGTCTCCTCACTGGCAGGAAACAAACAGGCTTTGGTCATGGCTGGAGTCACAAAGCCCACGTGACCTTTCCACGCTGAGGTGGAGCTCTTTTGATCAGAGGGGCTCACATTCTCGTCTGCGGAAGGGACTTTGTCGACGGTGAAACTCAGCGTGAAGCGGTCGGGGTGCTTGGCCGCCAACTCCTCAAGCACATCTCGTGCAAGGATATCATCGGGCGTCTTGTTGGCGAACAGAAGTCGCACCATGGTCTTGTCCTCCGGATCCCGGAGGATTGCTGCCAGCACCTGGTAACACGGCGTGATGCCGGTGCCGCCAGCGATCATCGACATCTCAGTGACAAAGCGCGGCTTGCCATTCACAAGGCATTGGCCCTTGCCTTTGTAGACGAACTCGCCGATGGGTCCCTTGACGTTGATGGAGTCCCCAATCTTCATACTGTCCAGGTGCTGAGACATCTTGCCACCCTCCGGAAAGCTCGGATGCACACCCTTGAAGTAGACTTTCACCAGCAAGTCCACATGACCCAGGGTGCTGTCATCTGTCATGGGTGTGTACGCCCTCATCACCGGCTTGCCATCCACCTTGGCTTTCAGTGTCATGTGCATGCCGGTGGGAAGTCCCAGCGTCATTGACGGAGAAGGCAGCTTGAAGCGAAAGATCCGGGTGTCGTGGCTCACAACGATCTTCTCTGAAAGCTCAAGCTGCTGGCTCTCTCGGGGATTCAAGAATGGCGTAGAGGATCCGAAAGGTGAGAGGAGAGCAGCACCCAGGTGCCATAGTGGCGATGCAAGCATGCTGAGAAAGCTCTGTGAAACTCCAGCCTCTGGTTCATGCTCTGCTTTCTTCAGTGGGCCAATGTAGTAGTCCTTCAGCATCTCCCAAGCGCGCGAGGAATGTACTGCTTCAAAGTCCTCGGTGGCCTCGATACCACCGGCAAGGAGGATGGAGGAAGCTCCCCCAGGGTGGTCTTGCAGATAAGGAGTGCCATCATAGACGTTACCCTTAACGACGAACCAGCAGCTCTGCTCGTTGTCGTGCTTCTTAACTTCCTCCATGCTGATTCCTGCAAGCCACTCCTCTGTGGACTGCACCAGCTTGCCTGCCTTGGTAGGCTGGATGGTTGCAGCTTGGCTGGCAGAACTGGCACCCGCAGCACTCACGGAGTCTGTCTTGGCGCCCTTCCACACTGCAGCCACGGGCCGCAAGGGAGCCACGCCAGTCTTCCCCGGCGTCGCCTCAACTGCAAAGCGTTCGTTGAACTGACCTGCTTGATCAGTCATCCAGCCGCCTGGCATGGAGCCCTGAGTTGGATGCTCGAACCACATCCTGCTGCCTTCCCGGTGGATCTTGATGCGGTAAATGGGATTGTTCAACATGCCCATCACCGTCCAGGTGAGCTGCACAGGCTGACAATTCTGGTTGGAATCCCAAGCGCGGCAGCAAATCTCTTCGCAGCTGCTATCCAAGAGACGACTCATGTCAACCTCCGTTTCCCACCAAGCCCAGCACCAGTGCTTGTCAGTTCCACGTGCTTCTGCGATCTCATCTTCTGGCCTTTGGAGCTCAGTGATCTCCCAAGACTTGCCCGAATCCAGGGAGATCTCCGCTCGGATGATCTTGTGGCCTCCACCAGTGTAGCCGTATCCGGAGACCTTGATGGTCTTGGGCAAGTTCTTCTCTTCCACAAACGAGTTGTGGCGCGGCTCGAACATCGCCGAGTTGATGTTCATGTGGTTGATGATATACTCAGGCTTGTACCACCATCCCTCTGCATAGGCAAGATCTGCATCAACATGGGGAGGAAGCACTCGGTTGTCGAAGTAATGGTAATGGTTCTCGGAAGGCTTGTCTGAGACCTTGGGAGA